GAGAAGGTTTGGGAGCCTTTTCTGAGCTCTGACTTGACTACGTTTCTTTTCAGAGTAAAGCAACCCATTCATCGCTGATTAGAGATGATACTATGAAAGAGCCCTTCCTTCTTGCCATCGGTTATGAAAGTGGCTGTTTATGGCTTTGGGGTGAGTTGGGGACTTTTTAGAGGGATTCTGCTGGGAAGAGAAAACAAACAAGTCTGAACCAGCGGCATACAAAGCTCCCCTTTCTGCAGCTTCAGAAGGCTTTTTTTTTTTTTTTTTTGGTGGGTACAGAGTGATAACCTCGGCTTGGGAGTCCTTATAATAAATAGATGGGTAAAGGAGCTCCTGGGCCTTGCCAAGCCCCGGTGGGAACATGCCGTAGGGGGAATTAACCGGGAAGTCCCTGCTGGATTTATCCAAAGCCTGTTGAACTGACTGCCCACCTTCCGGGTGAACTGGGGTCCTCGGATCTGTGGGAACCTCAGCCTTCCTTGGCACTGCTACTTCAATTACCGGGACACGGCGAGGTTTTAGTGAGCATCATTGAAGTTACCTGCTATTCTGCTGTTAAATTGCCATTTCGAGAAGTTTAGAGGGTCTTTAAGGAATTGCTTAAGGCAGGATAAAGCTTTGAAGCCATTTCTCCTTGGGAAAACATTGAATGTTTTGGGAAGATGGAGTGGCAAATGCAGAGCCCCAGGGGCACCTAGGAATTAGAGTGTCCCTAGGGAGCAGGGCAAGGAGGCGGCTCTCACCCTCCGGGACAGGCAGGGAAATAGGTGAGAGATGTTCTTGGAAAGGACAGAGCCTCACCACAGAGCAGAGACCGTAGACAACTGGCTTCCAAAAGAACATTCCTCTTTCCATATCCCTCTCTTTTTTATTCCCCTTCCTCATGTCTGACCTGAAGCCAGGTAGGTCAGCTATTTCTCTTTGAAGCTGAGTTTCTTGTTGGTTGAATTGTTCTGAAAGCAGCATTGCATCTGACTGATGCCTGGGCTGCAGTTGACAGGGAGAATTTTCTGTGTATCTCTCTTCAGTCCCGTTTCTATTTCTCTATCCTTTCTTCTTTCACTGGCAGATTTCTTTTCCCCCTCTCGAGTTTATACCCTACCCTCAATTTATTTCCCTTTGCTTATTGATAATATTAAATCCATCCTCTGCCTCAATTTGGAGTAAAAAACAACCAAGTGCGGAGGGAAGCATCATGTTCTAGTTTCTTGCACACCGGGACTGTGCATTTTTGCCTTGTGATTCTGCACTTCCATAAACAAACACACACAATTTTATGAGCACAACTTGTGTTGAGGCAAGCGTCGGCATTCCCCAGCATCCTTAGCGTGAATCACTGTTCCGGGATGAGAAGGGAGATGTTTTAATGCCTTTTTGAACTATCTGAGGGTCGGGCCCGTGAAGGCTTGAGGGAAGGAGGATTTAGGCTGATCTCCACCTGCTGGTTCAGCAACACGAGTGGGACCTGAAGGGTTGGATAAAGCACGTTACATTCTACAGCTCCTTATTTTTGTGCCACATCCCGATGCGTTTATGTGTGTAATTAACCCCTAGCAGGTTTCCAGACGATGTCCCCTTCTAGAGGCGCTGCCTCCTCTCCCCGCCCGGCCACCGCCCGCCTGCGCGCTGCCCCCGGTAGATGGAGCATCCTCATCGCTTTTCGCCCGAAGCCCTCAGAAATGTTGGTCTTTCCCTCAGAAATGTTGGTCTTTCCCTCAGAAGTCCCGCAGTTCAGGCAAACGGGTGGTCTGGGGGCACGCGCGGCCCGCCGATGTGTCCCTGGGGAAGCGGAGCTCCGCGGCCGCTGGCGACAAGGCCGCCCGGCCGGCGCTGCGTTTGTTCGGCTGGGTTAACGGGCTCAGCTCTTTCTCCCGACCGCCGAAGCTGCTTCGGGCTTGCCCGATTACCCCGGCTGCCAGCACCCCCGGCACGGAGCGCGGTGGGCAGGTGGCACCTGCCGCCCTCCCCGCACCCTTGGCCGGGGCTGAAGTGCACCGGGACGCGGGAGCTGCCCCGCGGGGCGTGGCCGGCGCTCAGGGGCAGCGCCCGCCGGTCAGCGGGGCTTTGGCCCCTTCGTCCTTGGGTGAGTCTCTGGACGGCTCTTTGCTCTTTCCCTTCTGGCAGCGACCGAGACAATGCGGGGCGTTCTGGTCCCTTTCCCAGTGCTGATGGCTCCTCAAAGGCAGAGGGTCCCGGCCCCGCTCTCCGCCCTGAGAAACTCGGGCCCCGTTTCTCACGCCGCCATTTTGTGGCCCTCCTCCGCAGCCCCTGAGGTGTCCCACAGGATTGAAGTTCCCTCCATCATTTTTTCACTTTGAAAAGCGAAAAATAGTTTTAATTTTTAAATCCCAGGACTTTAGGGAGTAATCTGCAGCAAAAGCCTTTTGTCTGGTATGTGCTGGACTAAGAAAATTGTGGCAATCCAATGGGTGCTTCCTTCAGGTCAGCTCATGGGGTTCAGGTCTTCTCCAGGGTTTCCTATAACAGTGTGGTAAAAGAAAGACAGAGGACCATAATCAACACGATGAGAGGCACATTTTAATTTTATTCTATCAACAGAAATAAAAAGTCGCAAAATGTAAGGTCTTACAAATTTCAAGAAGATTCAAACAACCAGTCCCTTTACAATCATAAACAGTAATAAATAGCATGGGAAAAGCACAGGTTTGCTCTCAAAAGAACCTCCCTAAAAGGAAAATTATTCATAAGACCCAACTGGAATTAATGCTGTTTCACAACCTACGGCTGGTAGAATCGAGATGTAGATTTTAAGGAAGATATTTACCTCACAGGTTATGGGTATTTTCCACCTTTTAATGAAGAACCTGGCTGTTGCCAGATGGGTTACTGAGAAGTGGCATTATTAATGTTAGTGCTATAAAGGCTTGAGGCCATGTCAGGCAGTTTGCTTGTGGGTTCTGTACCAATGCAATCTTCTAATAGTTAAAACTTTTTTTTCTGTGATCGAATTCTGTATAATTACATAAATGCCATGCAAAAATGCACAATAATACTTTTCTCCTGGCAGCGTTCTGAATAGCCCCGCTAGAAAGAATAGATGCACTCTGAAGCTGGTTTACCCAGGTGCGTGTGTTACATATTTATATTTAACAAAAATATCAGCCTCATAGGAGAGTTTCCTCTGAATCTGTCATCCTGAGTTGGCTGATGGTTTGATGCTACTTTTCTGCAGTATGTCCAAGAATAAGTCATTGCTACAGTCATATCCTGGAAGACATCAGATGTCAAAAGTTTGTTGCAGACTGGTGTTACCTACTGTTTTTAAAATCTGCAAACACCGTATATATTACCAGTGCAATTGAATCTCTCAGCCCTTTCTGCTAGTGACACCTGTATCCTCTTAATTCACAGCACAGAATAGCATTTGACATTTGCACTTACACTACTTCATTTTAGCAATACCAGAATAACAAGTATTTTACATATGCATGCTTTCTGAAGCACTATTTTCTGCAACTTTACCCTTTTCATAATTTTGTTGTAAAACTACAGTAAAAGAAAATAAACACTTTAATTCTCTCTACAAAAGTATTAGTACTATTCTATAAAAATATTCAAAAGATAAAATTATTTGTATTTTTATGTGATAATAGTTTCTATCTAATAATATACAGCTATACAGTCTGTCCTATCCATGAAATATGTGTTGCAATTTATAAAACAATAAATAAAATTTCTTTGCCCCAATATCTTTTAGTTTTTATGGGAAGGTTGAGAAAACCAGGTAAGAAACACTGTTAAAATGTTTCTATAGAACAACTTCTTAATACATGCTCCAAACTGTATTTTCTTTTTCATAGTAAGGAATTACTTTGGATTTTTTTTCACATGGTGTGAAAGCAAAAATATTCTGCCTTGATCTGTGGCTTGAGGTGGCATTTCCCAGTATTTTTCTTAGTATTTTCAGAAGATTTTTTATTTGCTACCTTAAATGTTTCCAGGCACTAGGAACTAGGATTTCAATCTTTTAAATACATTTGGTAAAACTATTATCTCTTTCTCGGAGTTTTTATCACAGCCTGTGCTAATCCAGTCACTTGGATTAGGTGTTCTGATCCTCCCTTAACTATGAGACAAATTCATTTCTGCCAAACACCCAGCGTTTTAAACGCTGCCTCCGCCCCCTCCCGCTCCCACAGCCTCAGTGCTGCAGGATGTAGCCTTAATGCCAATTTAGTTAAATTCTGCAGTTGTTTTCTGTTCCACTTTATCCTGGATTAGGATCTCATCCTCATCACCAATTTGTCGTGGCTTTGCTTCTCTCGCAGTGTGATGGGGAAGCCACTGTGGGACAGTTAAAGCCTGGACAACTTCACTCACTGTTGATGCACCTGAGCCAACGCGCTGTGTCCAGAGTGTTCTGATGAGGGGTGTTTGAATCCCTTTTAGAGATCACCTCCCATCTCTTTAAAAACTCATAACTGAATTTCTGCACACAGCAGCACGGAACAAACAGAATAAAGAATTTATAACAATCAGTTTTCCATTTGATGAGAATTCTGTCTTTAAGCACACTTGGCATTCATACACCTTTGATTTAAATGGACTTGGTGGTTGTACAGGAGGAGTGTGCAGGATGCTGAAGGAATTTTTCCATCAGCAGCACTGCAGTCCATAGGCTTAGTAACTAGCTGGGGTTCAGGCTACACATTTTATATACAAACATCTTTCCTTGTGTTCTTCATTGCCTTCTAAGAACATTAAGCCTCTCAAACAGAACTGCTCCAGAAGCAACGCTTTACCTAAATTATAAATCTCATTTTTTCCTAACTGTGGTTTAGACTCTTAGTAGTCCCTTAGCACCATTAGTGAGAAATTTGGTTCCACTAGATAGCAATTCAAATGCAATTAAAACTACATTTCTCCCTTTTATATTAAAATGTGTGGTATTGTCTTGCAATTTTGACTTGTTTATTCTATCAACAAGGCTTTTGACTGTGTAAATCCTTGATTTACATTTTTCTTTTGAAGTTTAAACAATGAGTGACAAGGTTTTGATCAACTTGGACAAAATTCTGGTCAAGCTTGGTAGGTCATTATATCATACATTTTTTATTAACAATTAGTTATGCACTGCATGCAATGATATTTTTTGCTTTAAACAGTTATATTAACTTCAAATAAATGTATAATATTAAGCTTTTGTTCTTTGTCTGCAAAATGTTTTGTTAGCTGGGAGGTTGTGGAGAGGGGTCTTGACAGCTATTTAATAGTAAACATTCTATTTAAATATTTTGCTAAAATAATTATTAATCAGAGTTTGTGCAATTAATGCTGCATAGCACATGTTTGTTTCACAGCTCCACTCATATATATGTTTATAATGAAGGGTTAATTTTCTTCTTAAGCTTCCCAGATAGAAAAAACTCGTAGTACTAAGAAAGATGTGGATCATCGGATAAATTGTGAGTAGTGGTAAATTATCGTTTTATTGGACGCTGAACACTGATTTTGTTTCATTAATCCTGGGATATGTTCTGTGTCTCGGGGGCGGAAGCAGGATAAACAATGGAAGCTGTCCCGTGTCCTGCTCTCACCCTGCCTCATCTTTAGCCATCAATACTTGCTCATTCTCCCCAGCAGACTTTGCTTTTGCTCTCGACTTTTAGCTGAGGCTGTTCAGCTGCCTCATGGACAGCCAGTTTCATGCTGCGCCATTTCCTGCTCTGACTCTGCAGCTCCTCACAGTCACTGGCAGCCCTTTTATTCAGCTGTGCTTGCTCAATACATCTGCCACTTGCCTCCCTTTCTTCATGTTTTTTGTTCTTTCCAGATTTGGACCTCTGCCTCACTACATCTTCTCTCTTTCTGTTTTCTTAAAATAATGAAAGTTTTCTCAGTTGCTACTACATACTCAAGCCTGGTTCTTCTTTTTTTGCAATCAAGCAGCTGGTTTCTTTATTTGAAATTCAAAACAGTAAACCCAAAGAGAAAGTCTTGCTCTGCACCAATTTTATTCTCCCTCAGGGCTTACAGACAACACAATACTATGGACTTATGTCTGGACTGATATTTTTTAACCATGCTACTATATGGAATCACTCATGAGAATGTCTTAAGAATAGTTCTCTACCACAAACAATCTGAGAACATCTGTGCTCACCTCTGGTAGTTCATAGGTAGATATTCAAGCACATAACCTCCATATATAAAAAAAAACAAAAAATTCTTGTCTAATTGGTGTTCTTTTTGATTATAACATTCCTAATAATTTTCACTGATGTGTCCAAGCAAGTACTTATTCATTAAGAAGATTATCCCAATTAAATTGAAGCATCTTAAACATGAAAACATCTGTAACACTAAATCTGGAACACCTTGTATTCTGGTTTAACTCTCCAGTCGCACAACTGAACCTTTGAGATGAGGCTTTTCTTAACATTTATGCAGGTTTAGGGTAAATGCTCTTGGGGAAAATCTGAAGGCTGTGTAGTAACATGGCATAGCTGCTTTTGTGTTCAATTCAGAGATACCTAAATATGTGTAAACACATAGCCAGCACTCAGGCTTTTAGCACTATGGGTTAAGTCTTTCAAAAACTTAGCAAAAAATAGTAACACTGATGTAATTTTGTCTCTGTGTATTACTTGGCAGATGAACAGCTGTAGCATTCAACTTTGGTCTTTCGGTGTGAGATTCATCAGGCTATTTGGCTACAGCCCCTTTCTTACCAGTGGAGGGATATAGGCACTTTTTAGGGTGTGATTTACTTATCCTGAAGAAACAGTTTAAAGTGGGTCAGATAAAGTATACTTTAAAAGTGTCAGCTTGCCTCAGCTGGGTGTAGCTGCAGCCATGGGTGTGTTCTGAAGGAGTCTCTGCACTAATATTGGGTGAGATGGATCTCACCCGCCAGGTGCTTGTGAAAGCACAGGGTGAGTTGGACAGCTCACAGAAGTGCTTATCTGTAAGGAATACTAAATGAGATGTGAAGTGTGTATTTTGTTAATACTCTTATGTTACATTTTGGTAAATCTCAGAAAGTCGTCTACAGGGTTCTGCCACATCCAGCTGTTTATTTACAGAAATGAAGCCATGTCACTTGTCCAATATTTATGCTTCATGCTAAGTAAAGGCAAGTTACTGACTTTAGATATTGAAAATATTAAGGGACTGAAGATAGGATAGGATATCCTAGTTATTAAAGGATAACCCAAGTTATTAAATTACATTGAGAAATTTTTGCTTTTCACTGACTGATGTTTCTCTGTGAGATGTGGTTTATTTTGTGCTATAAATGCAGATGCTGTTGAAAATTAAGTATATAGCAAGTAGTGCAAAACCAGAGCCAGACTTCAGGATGAACTGAAGTTCCAGAGCAGTAATTCCAACAACTCAGGACCCATCTTGCATCACTAAGATGCTCTTCCCATTTGAATAGATAGATGAGAGAAGGGCAGGATGTGATTGACTTCTGTGTAGGGCCACCTACTCTGGCATTTTGTGTTTCAGGGCAGCAGTGATAGCAAGGGATGATTTAGCACTGATAAATCTGTAATCTTGCATAGAAAAAATGAATTAAAGAATGCAGAGAAAAAAAATTCACCAAGTTGTGCTTATTGCATTGCAAGATGAGCATACATGAGATGAGTTTTCACAGCTTTTACTCATGAAGAGAACACTGATCATGTTCAACAACATGAGTTCTCCTCTGACCACTCATTCAGAAAGCGTTATCAGCTGTCTGCTGTTGGAAGAGGCAGAATTAAGAGTTTGCCTTAAGAATCTCCACAAATATCATAGTCCTTGAGAACCTGTCATTATAATGCACTTTTAAATTAATTAACCTGTGTCCTATATTAATTTATCATACATTACACATTCCTACATTGAGTAAAATTCCTTTTTATTTTAATTTTTCTGTTTTCCACTAACTGCTTATATGCCTTTTGGGGTGTTTTTCTTTTTCCTTTATTGTAGTCAACTTTCCCACTCAGAACATTTGACTTTCTGGGCTTCTGCAAAAGAATACAAATGTTTGAAAGAGGGTCCTGGCTCTGGCTAGGAGTGAGTGAGTGAGCAGTGCATGGTTTGGAGTGTTTCAGTGGGAACACTGAGCTGGGGAATACTGCTAATAGTTACTTCAGTTCTTTTCAGACTGGGATTCAGAAACAGCACAGATCATGGCAGTCTCACAATATTAGATGATAATTAAGGTACTCACCACACAGCTGGAAATCCCTATGTTTTGACTCAGTTTGTTGTTGCCTTGCTTAATTGCAGGCTGTCCACTCACCTGGCATTATGGAGATTAAGTTTTTTGGAAGGTATTTTTAATAATTCTGAATGCAGACTTTTTATTTCATGGATTTGTAGAAAATGCATGGATATACTTTAAAATTTATTTTTAAATTTCAGTGTACACTACAAAAATCACAGAAAAAAAGAATAAAATTTCTTGGTTGGAGGAAAATATAAAAAAAGGCAACGAGGCATTTGATGATTTGCAAAAGCAGAATGAGAGCTGCAAGAAGATCTGTAATGTGTGAGTATAAAAGAGCCTGAACTCTGAGCTGTGGCTGGCATTAAGGAAGTCAGTGAGGAAGGAAGAGAAAAACGTGTGTGTGTGTGTTCTGACAGCAATGATATTAAAGAAAACTTTCATATTCTCTTCTTTTTTTTAAACTAAAAATCTTTAGGTATAAAAATTACAGTATTACCCATCCACTGAAGAAGAATTATAGAAAAGCAGACTACATTTAATTTTGGGTTGTTTTTTTATTAAAACCACCATTTTCAGAAGATCACAGGTACTATCTTTGCACCATACTAAAGTATTCATGTAGTAAGGTAATAGAAACATAATTTTTCTACACTTGGATGCATCTGAGTTTTGTCAAATTTGACCAATATTAAACATAATGTTAAAAAAAAGACTTCCTAAAATGGAACACCTTTCTTTTCTTTCTTCACAACATGTTTCATGTTACTTTTTGTTCTATACATATTTTCACTCAAGATTAAATACTCCATACACACATGCATGTGCTTCTGCTGGCAGATTCCAGTATCACTTTTGCTCCAGACTGCAAAATTTGTCTTCTGGGCACAATCTTTTGATGAATGCAATGTTCTGCCATTCAGTTTTTCTCACATAAATGTTTGCATCAGATAATTAGTTTAAGTGCTGATCGCTTTTGGATCTTAGTAATTAGAAGCTTTTCAAGACACAATTTAGCTACAAGGAGTTTTAGCTCCCTGACACAAAATTTTTAAAAATTAAAACCTCAGGTATTTGCAAGGGTAGCTGAAAAGGCAAATCTATATTTGACAATACAGAGAGTTTGTTCCAGGTGATAAAAATCCATCAGAGTGTTCCATTTCTTCACAATCTGACTAGTTCCTCAGCAGCTGGAGTGAGGATTTGTTGGCAAATTCTGTTTTGTTTTCTTGCAATTCTGTATCTAAAGGTAAGTACTTCAATAAAAATATCTATGACACACATTTGAATTTTTTTTTTTTTACAGTGTGAATGGAGAGTGTGGGCGTTTCTGAGAATAAAGAAGGAAGTAAAGATGGGATTGGGATCCTTTCTAGGTTTATTTTGAACTCTCAGAAAGAAAAAGAAAGAATGGAATCATTAGTGAATAAAGTGGATGTAGTGGCTGGCTTATTTGAATGAATTGCTGTTCAATACTGATTTGTAGCTTTACCATTAAGAGTTGATAAAAGATCTGACCTTGGTAAAAAAATTCTATTTTTCCATTACATTAAGTTCTTGCCTCCAATATTGTATAAAATAAACACTTGCACAGGTTTATGAAGCTATCCACACTGCTTCCTTTGATATCTGTTTGAATCTGCAAATCTGTTTGCAAATGACAAACTGTTAAGTGATGCAAATGAAGGAGTAAAAAATTAAGGGTAGAACTAAGGATCTGATCTAAATTTTAATCATTGGATTCAATGGGTTTTGGCTCAAGTCCTACAAAGAATAATTAATGGCATTAGTGTAAAGAGACTGAAAATGAGAAGTGACTCATTAATGAATACATGTATTCATAGAAGGACAATGCTTGCAGAAGAGTAGAGACTTTGTGTCTTAAATTATTGGAAATGTCATTTAACGACAGACTGAAAACTGCAATAAACAAGCCTTGGCTATAAGATCAGACAATTAGAACACTTACACAGTAGAATCACCCCAAACTTCTAAAATTTATTCTAGTTGACACTCCATCTATACTGAACATGATTCTAATGTTGGTTTTGTAAATTCAGATACTGTTTTGGAGTCACAATCACCCTCACAGCTGACTAATTGCCAGTGATAGAGCTCAGTAGGGCTCTCAGGGAAACAACGTTTTGTCTGGGTTACAAGACATTATGAGTATATTGAAGCAGATTTGAAGACTTTGAACAAAATACAAGGTTCTTATATTCAGCAAGTCTAGTGAAAATATGATATATGGGATAGATGTATTGGGATAATACTGTGTTTTCTGAAAAAAATCCATATTGGTCAACGTATAAAAGACCTGAAGACAGAAAATGACCCAAATCAAACATATTTTTAGACAAGTGATGACATTTTGCTAATATTTAGTTTCTTGAAGGAGACAGACTAGAAAAGTTGATCCAAGAGCAGTAGGAAGTAGTGAAATGCTGCTTTTGGAACCTATTTCAATTCTCTTGTTTCTCCTACAGTTTTTGAATTTGGATGCAAGGATGGTGGGGTTTCATGGAAATAGAAAATAATTTCAAAAAAGCCACATGAACTCAGAATGCTGTTAGTTAGGAAAAGAAATTATTGTCTTTTGGAAAAGAAAATTGTCCCACTAGCCAAACTGCAGGATAATTTTACTCCTTTCAGAGTGGTGTGGATAAAGATCTTTCCTATACCCTGGCTGATGAAAGGAAGGACAAATAAATGTGATGGCTATCAAGGGCATCCATGAGACAGTTAGCAAACAAGTAAATGAGCTGCTTGAATCCTGCATACCTGGTTGCGTTCACAAACCAATGTTCTTGTACCACATGTTTTTCCCATGTCCACAGAACAGATGTGAATGAAAAATGTAACTCACAACACGGCTTGTACTCTGCACTTGCACTCTGATTAATAAAATCTCTATGAATTTTAAATCTCAGGATGTTTTCCTTTCCTCCAAAGAAGGTAATGGAATTTCCTGAGTAAAAGAACATCACTGTGTCTGGTGTACAAGCACATTTTTATTTAGGTTAGGTTCTGCTTTTGAAAAAATCTGACCCTTTTGAAATTCAACTTTTTGCTGAATTTGCAGTAGATATGGTGAAGTAACATTTTGTAGTTCCACTTTTAATCACCATTGGTGTCCAATAATTTGTGCCAGCAGTGCTGGATGGTTCATGCTTCTTATAACTGTTTTTTTTTTTTCCCAGAGAGAATACCTTCTTTTCAAAAACTTTTTAATATGCCTCTCCTAAAGATCACATCGGAATTTCACTTGAATCACAAACTCTATCTGCCTGTTTTCCTAGTATTCCCATATCCAAGGCAGAGGTATCTCTAATGCCTAGATGTTGAGAAAGTCCTGCTCTTGTCATAAGTATTCTGTGAAGCCGCTCTGCTCTCAGTTTCATCTACAGCATCCTGCTTTAAGAAAGTCACATCGATGCTTTCTGAGCAGGACTTGCTTAGGAAATTGAGGAAATTCTGGGTTTGTAACTGCTGCCTGCATTTAGGTGTGAGATGGGTGCTGATGATGCTGGTGAGAATGAAGTTGTGGGTGTCTCCAGCAAGTAGATACAGCATATCTAAAGGATTTACTGATGCTGATGTGTTGAGGACAAAAAATGTGGATTTAGATACCTCATTACTTAGCAGTAGCTCCAAAAATTCGTGAAGTTCATTCCATTAGTTCCTTAGAAAGTGCTTTGTGATGTTTCTTAATTCTAAATATATATATTTTTAAATTGAATTTTCAGGTTTAAAATATTAACGAAATAAATATATTCCTCCCAAATCTGTCCCAAACCAGGACAGCCTGCAAAAGATTTCTGTACTAAAACCATGTATGTTTAACTTTCAAAAGATTTATAAATAATTTGTAAGCTAGCTAAAGTAACTTGTTGTCTTCTTTTCTAGATGTAATTTTACTAAGAAAGACCACTAATATGATTTTGGTTTTTCTTTACTTTGTCCACAGCTGGAAGCCCACCTATACAATTCTTAAAAAGCATGGAGAATATTTGAAAAATGAAATTAAAGCTTTAGAGGAAGCTATAGAAAATGAGAGGTATCTATGATCACATGAGATGAGGTTTCCAGCAATAGTACTGACTCAACTGATCAGCAAAACTAGTGCTGTCTGCATGAAAAAATTGCTGCAAACATTTCAGGAGTTTATAGTCACTTATAAATGAGTCAATAATTAAAATAATTTTTTGTTTACATTACTATGAGATCATATGTTATTTTGTAGTTGCCAAAGAACTATGATAAAATGTGAATTCTTGAAAGTTGCTTCCCAAATGCCTATTACAATTTTTCAGAGCATTGTACGATTGCCTACTGTTTCAAGGAAAGCCCAATAAATAAAAACAATTAATGTTTTCAGTAACAGTTACAAGCATTCAGATAACTTTATGCTTTTCCTTTTTTTTTTTTTTTAATATGAATTGCATAGATTATCAGAATATACAAATCAAGTTTTTGTATACTGTTGTATGTTCTTCAAAATAACCACAAAGCATGCAAATTCAGTCTTGGGTCCTGAAAAATGAGAAAGTGGCTCAGAAAAGCCTGGTGTAAAACCATATTAAGACCAGTTGTGGGCAAGCTTCTAGTCAGCATTAATTGTAAATTCAATTCTGTTCAGTGAGTGGCATCTCAGGTGTTTCATCTTAATTAGTTAGACTCAGTATTTAAAAGAAATTATTAATTGTGTAATGTAGCTGCCTGGAGTCCATGAAATAAAGAACGGACCCTGAGGATTCTCACTGCAATGTTCCAAATGTGCTGTTCCAAGGTAACCCTCCATAGACCTATTGAACAAAGTAAAACTGATCTCCGTTTTCGAGAGGCTGCTCACCTGCACTCCTCTGCCTGTGAGGGGCTGGAGGCTGCTTGGCCCTGTGGTGCAAAAGTCACGGCAGACCCCTCCAGACACCTAAATACCAGTTTAGAGTTGTAAATTTAGGTAATTTAAAACATTGGCTTTGAGTCTTTTGTAATCATTCTTTTTGCCAGTTGTCCAAGACAGCAGAAACAGTATGCCTGAGAGCCTTTAATTAACTCACTTAGTAGCTTATCTTTTTTCTTCCTGTTCAGAGCTCTAAATTTGGTGAAAAATAAGGCTAAATTGGCTTTCTATGAGTATACGATTGAGCCATTTTGGCTTTCACTAATTTGAGCTGACAAGCCAAAGAAGCATTACTTTTAAATTGCTTCTTTAGATAACTAGTTTCAATTCCAACATGAAAGTGTTTGATCTGTTTTCCTGAGCTGAATTATAAGACATCATGACTACAAATCACAAAAGAAATTTAATTCATGTATTTTTCAAAACTGTGCGTCAAATATAGTCTCTCTGCACCGAAGCATTTGATATGTTCAGGTCAGCAAGATGTGCATTCAGCAAATTCTAAATATTTAAATTAGGAAGAAAAATAAGTGTCTTTAGAACTTTATGAGCTGAATGTTCTTTTTAGTCTGGCATTTGGGGGCACTGAGGACATGCTGCTTTAGATGGAAAGATGTTTTTAAAATATGGGCAGATCAGTTTGTGTTTAATTAGGCACTTATAATGGAGGTTTATGAAATGTTCCACATATTTTTGTTGTTATTTGTTTCAAGAACATATAACAATGCATATATGAACTGGAAGTTAATCCTGAAAATAAGTGATATGAAGAAGGAAAAAGTAATAAATTGCTATCCACATAATGCTCAGGGGGTTGTGGGTGCTGTTCTTTTCCTGTTGTAATTAGATTAAAACATTTTCTAATTAATGTGAATAGTGGTGAATTCTTAATAGTCTGTGTTATCTGCATGAACTGGAGGATGTAAATTACTTGGAGAAAATATAAAAACTAGTGATGATTACTCAAGGCTACTAACTATACTGTGTATGGCCATGAATACTATCTGTGGAAAAGTAAATTTTGGGAAAAGAATATAAAGTTTTAGGATTATATTCACAAGCTTGAAATGTACCTGTTCCAACCTATTATTTTACTTAATTATATTATTTAAATTTATTTCTAATGCATTCTAAATTTATTAGCAAATTTATTTTTTTGATCAGTTTTTGTTGTAACATCTATTTAATTAAATATAACTTAATATTTTTCATCCTTCATACCTGGGAAATTTTGTACACTATACAGAAATATTAAGTAAATCAAAAAACTTAGATTCCTGAGACCACCTGTGTAGAAAAGCGAGGTTTGTGTCATTTTCTTTGTGAAGTTTGGGAAATATCAATTCCTAGGTTTGATTCACAGTGTTGACCTACAACTTCTCTCCCCTAAAATTTAACAGTCAGTTTAACAGGAACTCATGCCTGGAGTGTAGTTTGATTTGAAAATGAGAATCTGACTGTGTTTTGCCTTGTGAATTTGTTTTCCTTTTGTAAGAGAAGAAGATTCTAGTATTGAATTTGGATATAAATTTTTCTCCCTCCCTTTGCCTGGCACAGCCAGTGGTCAGCCAGGACTGACAAATGCAGCCTTTCAGTCATGCTGCAATTAAATGATTAAGAACAGTTTGAGATAAAATGTGTTCCTTAAAGAGAAGTCCCGTGTGCTTTGCAAGCAGTGAGAGCTGTTCTTTAAAGTAGGGGCAGGTTAAGAGGTGGCTTTCTGGCTTTAATTGCTTTTATGCACCATAGTTTTTCCCATAAAGGAATTTCATGTTAATCTTTAGGTGTAGTAATAACTTAATATTTTTAAATTTGCCTCTCCATTGTTGACATAAGCTTTTCCCACATTAATTGAAATTGCCTACTTCAGTAATTCATAGCTATGTGCTCACATGATGTCAGTGAAGTTGCATTTAGTGTAATGTTTATTTACAGGGCAGCCCCACAAGAAGCTGAGCATTCTGGCTCTTTGCCACTTAAACATCTAAGTGTTTGCTTAACCTTAAGTATGAATAGTTCTGTTGTTTCAGTGTGACTGATGTGTGTGTTTAAGGCTTCCCTGAGTCAGACAGAGATTACTCAGCATCTCCTTGGAAGCAGCTACAGTGGTGCACCAGGCTGCTCTGTATATGGGAGGTTTGGCCAAATTCTCTTCTACTGTAACTTTGATCCAGCTCCACCAAAATGGATGGAATTATGCCAACATGCACCAGCAGAGACTTTGGCCTGCAGTGAGTTTCATGATAATTAAACAGGGAAAAACACATTTGTCATCTTCCAGGCTGCCTTTGAATATGGTATGGTCTACATTCCCTTCAGAACAGGGAGGTTTGGCTGGTTTTTACATCATGACTATTCTTTGTTACATACAGCATAATCTTCCTTGAATATAACTGGAAGATAAAAAAGTAAAGCCAAATATTAACATATTAAATATAATCCAACTTTTCTTCCTATGATAACAGCAAATTAACTGAGTGGATGCCATGAATTTATAGGCTTTTTTTCCATATAAACAATGATTTCCTGTGAAAAAAAATAAATTACATGTATTTTTACAGGAAAATATATGAGGATTCCATAACCCAGTTTAGAGAGATCTTGGAGGAACACCACAAAAAATATACAGAAATTGCTCTTGCCAAGAAGTATTACCAAAAAAGGGAAGAAGTTGAAGAAATCCAAGAGAGAGTTTTGAAACGCCTTGAAAAATACAAATGGAAAGAAGATACTTGCTTGAATACTCTGGGTACTGCTATTGTCAATGCTTTTATAATAAAGCTTTTTGGCAGTGCACTGCATATTAAAGGTGCCATACAGAAAACCTCTAACTTTCCAAACTTTCCTTTAAACTAGTAAAATCTGTTCTCTTTGTTACACCATTTTTGGGAAAAAAAAATCAGTAGCAGATAAGAATTTAGTTTATACATACTAATATTTCTTCCTCCAACTCATAAATGTAATGGGGAGAGATTTGTCATTGAACTTTTTGGGGTAAAAAAGTTCTAAGATTTTTTTAAATCGAGCCTCTCAAAAGTTTAAATTTAATTTTCATCCCTTTTTAATGCTGTTTTTAATGCCATTACTGTTATACTGCAATTTTTGTTATCTATACTAAGCCAAGATAAAAGCTCTTGATCTATTAATTTATCTTGTATTTTTTAAGAAAACTGGTTTGTTAGTTAATGATCTGAAAGTAAATTTTATTTTTGCAGAGGCTGTTCCTTTTATATCCGTAAATGATTGGGCTGTACACATGTATCCTTTATTTCTAGTGTTTGTTCAGTTGACAAGAAAAAAGTTTTATATTTACCTTTCACGGTTTTCTGTTAGAAAATAAAGTAATTATTTATATATTTATATATAAATATATTTTTATATTTGTGTATTTGTATATTTATATGTTTATATATTTATATATTTGTATATTTGTATATTTATATACTTACGTTTAGCGTGTCAGCATTGGCATTTCTCTGTGAGAAAATGGAAGGTCAAATCCAACTATTCAGTTAAAATTTATGGGAGCATTTTGGGGAAAGAAAACAAAATTTCATTTAATAACATATCCATCAAAGCTCTTCATTTAGGAGAAGCTTAATTGAATTTAGAGTTGAAGATTTGCCAAGGAAATGCAGATTTATCAGAGCTTCCTGCACCTCTAGCATTTGTGTTATGGCATAGAGAGGTCAGGGATCTGATGGCACCCCTTGCTCAAAAAAATATATTGTTGTAAAATATATTCCATGACATGGAAGTGCATCTATGAGGAAAAAAACACAGGAAACCTTGCAGCTCACTGAAGCTGCTGTGCAGGAAACCATCAAAGTGGAAAAAGAAGCAGAAGAATTACAAATGAAAATTGACTGCTTAAAAAAGGCAACTGTACATTAATTTTATTTTATATAAATACATGTTATATATGTGTTCATCCATAGCACCATTACATTTTCTGAAACATCAAAAAAGGTGTCATCACATAAGTTTTCTGAGAGAAAAGAATGTAAAGGTTCTTAAAGCTTGCTTTCTGCTGACCTCAGTTTGTGCCACAGTTTCTGCTGTCACCGTGTCACGATGACTTTGGTGTCAGCTCAGGAGGATACACTTGAAACTAGATCAGGGCCACTCCTCAGTGAGCCCCAGGGCCTGAGTGTGCAGCTTTCACAGGTCCTGCTGGGTTTTTAAGGGTTTGTATTTAACTAAATATGCTTTACAATAGGAATAATGGAAATTCCTTCTCTCCTTATATTTTTTCCCCAAAATACATGCATGGGTATATAATACCCAGCAGTAAAACTGGCTGATTGACTAGGAGAAGCACTGATTCCAAAGGGGAATCTTAAAAAAAAAAAAACCAAAGGGATTTTATCAGTACAGAATTTGGACCTGCTCCTCTGTAAAAAGTCTCTTCTAAGCCTGAGTAGCCCAATCTTGTAAAGGTTTAGCAACTTTTTATGGCATTGCATCTGGGTGCTTTTACCTGGATCAGATGATAAAGGACTCCATTTACTGCCTGGGGCTGATAGCAGCACGTTTTGCACAGGTGGTTTTTCTGTTTATATTCTGTGATCCTGTTTGACACTCCTGGTTCCAGACTGAAGTTCCCAATGTGGTTTGTGCTGTGTAAACATACAGGAAGAAGGGATGTGGTGAATTTGTTTATAGCTATGACGGAGACCATGTAAAGAGCTCCAGGTTCTGACATTTAGACCCATGCTCTAAAACTTCTCTGTTTATTCTGGTTGTTACAGATTGATTGACAAAGAATGTTGCCTCTTTTTAACCTTGTTCTCCTTATTTCTTCAGAACCTCTTGGCTACAAAAACTACTACTGAGCACTGATTCATCGAGTTTAGAAAATTTTTGCAGCACATAGCTAAAATAGTGCAAGTTTTGTAAATCTTTATGCCATTTGTTATTTATCTTTTAAGACCTTCAAAGAGACTAAAGAAGATCAAAATAATTCTGAAAAGATTGAAGGAAAAAACCAGAAAAGTAATGAGAAGCTAGAAGAGTTTACAGAAAGGTACACTTCAAAATTATTTTTCCCCTTACTTTTATTCAGAGAACTACCTCAGAATTTACACAAAGACTGCTACAAAACACAGACTGTTGTTAAATAAGAACTGTCAAGCTTCTCTAATCCTGGTCATGTGATTTAATTATGTAATTAAAACAGTTCTATATTTCTGGGGGTTAAGATAGTGACAGCTTTTGATTCTTGAAAGCTCAGTGTATCCGGAAACATGCTATAAAAATATTCTGCAGAAGCATTTTGTCCTCACTACTGCTGAGAGATCTGTGTGAGTAGTTTTGAATGCAACTACAGTGGCTGTGCAGTGAGAGATAAAATAACATTAACTCTACTAAATATATATTTGCAAAAGGAGTCAGGATTCCACATGTCAGTTGTCTTCACCTCTGAACTACTTAAGAAATTTAACTCTTAATTTAGTTCTTAAAAACAAGCATGAGTGAAAGTTTCATAGACAGGATTAATGGCTTAGTAAATTAGTCAGCGATCATTTACAGCTGGGACTCACTTTAATTTGAGCTCAATTACAATGACTGAAAATCACCATGAGGACTATCTTGCACTTATCTGGAGTCTTTGTGAATGTTGAAAAATTTCCTGTTGAGCTGACACTTTTAGACCAAAATCCATTTTAAAGCAAAAGTATGTCTGAAAGATTTGGTGTGATTTTATATTATGGTGTGCTTGAAAAAGAATCCTCTTAGGGCTTTAAATAGGCATTTAGCGGAACATAGTTATAAAAAAGTGTATTTTAGTAATTCCTAAGATTCTTTTCACAGGGACCTTTTAAGTCTAAAGATCTTCTTACAGACCTATGAATCATTCAGATGATCATTTATTTGTGATGTAGCCTTTGCACCCATTTAACCTTCTCACATAAGATTTTTGTAATTGGCAAGAACAGAAACATGGGTAAGCAAGAAATCCCCTTAGTTTTAAGACAAGGTAAAAAAAGTTGGGAAGCACTCTCTTTGAATTTTCAAATAAACCCATGTGTGTTCAGTCTGCAGAACACAAAATACCAGTTAAAGACATGCTGTAAGAGGCAGAAAACCATGCACTGGGTGTGGAGGTGTAAGAATTCCTCAGTGAGGCTCCTCATGGTAAGGAATCCATAGGGTGCACTGCCAGACCTGTACATTTGTACATTTCTTTTCTTGTCATGGAGTCTCCTTGTACCTTCACCTGAAGCTGTGTATGTTCCACAACAGAAATGCTTGTAGAAAATGGCATAAAATTGGTCTCTTAATATCTTTATTTGACATTAGTGTATTAAAAAAAGTCTTCACTAGAAAGCGTGCAAGTGACTGCTTAAGTAACTATTTTTTTGGTATTTAATTGGTGTTAAAAAGGTGTGTATTATGAAGATGTGAAAAAAACCAAAAAAACCCCAAAACCTCTGGAAAAAAAAAACAAACCAAACAACCCCAGGCAGAAACTGTGTATTGAGAAAATGAGCCATAGGAAATAAAACCTTTGCAGACTCAAAGCAATGTACAAAAATACAACAGCAGAATGTGGCTACCAAAGGCAGGGGTTTCTTTTGAGCTGTCCTGTAGCCACGAGCAAAAAGATCTTTGTGAAGGAAGGAGATATCTTCATCTTCTGCCACAAAAGAAGAAATAAAAAGGAATAGTACTGTGAATCTCCATGAGCTGGTCCAGACCAGCATGAAACCAGCAGCATCAAGGGAAAGAATTAAAGAGAACAGTGAAAGCACTGGACAGAACAATGTACAGATTAATACCCATGAAAAGCTTTAGAAGCAAGCTTGGAAGCCAATTAATAGGTTCTGATATGTATGTTCTGCTCTGGGCAGCAGGGTGGGAACTGTTCCTTTAAAAAGCTTGGAATGCTATTGTTTGGATCACTTAGGTCTGGCCAGTTGTTGTTTAGGAGTGTAAAATGCAGATTCCTCTGCTCTTACCAGCTCTTGTCTCTGATTCACAGCTCACCAGTTACACTGACAAATATCACTGTTTAATTTCCAGAGAGTTCTCATCAATCACCAAACAGCACTCAACTCTTTTGAAGCCCTGGTCTTGATTTCTCAATTAGACATTCTATTTATTACATAGAAAGGCTGGTATCTTGAACTGCATTATGGCATATATAGTGTTCATTCTCTCTGCTTTTGTAAAATGGTTGGGAGAGATTTAATTCCATGACTCTGTAATTCTTTATTTCTTTTGCCTTCCAGTTTAGTCATGTATTAATTCCATCTCTTACTTTCCAAGTGAGAGCTTTTTGCTACATCTTCACATAAAGGAGATTCCATGGTGGATTATTGCATTTCTTTCAGCATCTTTGCATCAGAAGTGATTGACTTTTACTAATAGATATTTGATTATATTAATCTTTTTATTAATATAAATATTAGAAAACTACTTATGAAGTTGCTCTGGATTTCTAATGTAAACATTTATGAAGTGCCAACTCAAGAGAATGCTCCTGATGAGAATACTGAACATGGTTTCAATAGCTGTAAATACCACAGAAGCAGATATGATTCTTCATATGTATAATGACATACACTTGATTCCTGTAGTGGAAATTAATATTAATCCTTGGGTTTCTTTATGCTACAAAGAAGAAAAATACTACCAATGAAATGGCAATTTATTTTGGTTTAAGAATATCTGTTTTTCTCTTTACATTTTAAGAAATGCCTGCAGTATGGATCAAGGAAAAGAGTTTTTATCTACTCAGATGTCTATTAGTGAAGCAGAAAAAGAAGACAAATGATTATTCTTGTTGCTGCAATTTGGATTGTTTTGAGCTTTGTGATGCAGTTTTATTTTTCTTCCAGGAGTATTAATTAATGTCAGAGAAGATGTGCATGGTTTATATTTCAGTAGTGCTTTTGTGGAGGGAAGGGAACAGGTGTACTGCATATGCATAGAGTTTAACTGCAGGCTCTTTTGGAAGGTTTTCTTACTTGAAGAATGAATATCTTAAGAATTTCTGATTTTGGTTTGTAAACCTGCCTTTGAAACATTATTCTGTATAGATATGCATTTTAAGAGGATTTTTATTTAATGGAGAGTAAGTCTTTAGAACTATAGAGTTGTTTGGTAGGCTTTTGTCACCCCAGGACAGCTTTACAGAAGCACAAGGAATCTGACTCCAGGAACTTTTAAAAACAGAGTTTGACATACTGAGTTCTGAAAAAAACCAAACCTACCAACCAAAAGCCCCCCAACCACAACCCTCCCCATATTTATGGCAGTCTAACTGATGACCTCAGCCATAGTAGCCTTGTTCAACTGATCTTTGAATGATGATTGTGGTAAAATGAGCCATTTGGAACAAAGTGAAACAGTTTTTGCCAGAGTTCTGTGGTGCTTTTGATTTCTCCTTGCTTTTGAGCTCCTTGCATCTGAATTTAAAGACACAACAGCCACACACGTCTTGTTTTCTGTAGTATTCATTCTTGACACAGGTTTATCTAGAACTAATGTAAAGATTTACTTTGGTTTTTAGTTTTTTAAATGGTGGATGTTTTGTACAGTTTGTTCAGTCTCAGTCCAGCACAGCACAGTCCTTTTCATCAGAGATACTTGGCTGAGGTGCTTTCAGAGTTTTATGTGAGCACAGTTCACACAGTTCAGTGCTTCTCACTGGTATTTTTTCCTTGGTGTTGCTAATTTTACTCCACACTGTCTTAAAAAGTGTATCCTACATTTTATCTTATTTTTGTTTATGGAGGATTTCAAGAAGAACGAAAAGACTGACTCAGTTCTTCATTTGTTTTGAAGAGCATTGTTCAGTCAGCTACAAACCAGATGTTATAGCTAGAAGCAGAGAGGCACTAAGCAGGAATGCCAGAGAGAAAATAAAATAGAACTCATTATTCTAAAAAATAGTAAATGTTCCGCTGCCAAACAGCCACTTTACTCTTCATTGTTCTGCTAACCTTTGTCTTTCTGCACTGTAAAGGGCTATTTACCCCACACAGATAATTACCCCACAAGTAAAAACACTTGCTGCAGTTTTCTCTTTTGTGTATGTGTAGTGTGAGTATTCCAGACAATCTCAGAGAGAGAAAGTGGTTTTAAATGTGAAAATGTGATTTCAGAACTACAATAAGGAGGCACTTTAATCAAAATGTAAAACTCCACAATACTTACACTTTTCTTTGATTCTGACAAAATTTAAGCCATCAATGTTCTTATGATTGGCTCATTACTGCTTTGTGGCCTTTTTTTTAGAGAAATTCTCTCTCTGATACTTAAAGAAAATCTAACCCAGTAGCCTGGGTGTAGCCTATCAACTACTGATGCTGAAAGTGGTAGAATTTCCTTGACAACATCCAATGCCTGTGAGAATTCCACTTATTTAAAGCAGTTATATTTTATGATTTATTTTCTTATGCAATGATTAATTTAATTTTTTTTAATTTTAAATTTGTTTAGGGTGTTTGAAGAGCGTGAACAGCCATCTATGCCAAAGAAGAAACATCAGCTGTACAGAGCATTGCCTGTCCCTTGCGTTTCTCAGAAATCTGTCCAGTCTGTAGGGAGTTTTAGGTTTCAGAAAGGACCAGAAACAGGTGTAGTGTGTTAAATGACTTCAGTGAGCATTTTGTGTTATTTTTGTGCTAAAGAATGGGTAAGTGATGATAAAAAAAATCTAGTGAACTGCTCGACTACTTATAGTTGAAGCCAGACTTTCAGTGGAAGTTGGGTGCTTACCATTTTTTGTTTTGGAAATCTTGTGTCTGATTTCTCCCTTGTCTGTGCAATGAGTAAAGTAATATGACAGATACTCCTAATGCATGGTGTCAGAAACATCTGAAAATAATTCAATTTACCTTTAGCACTGTTTGCATTAGTACAGTAAATATTAAACTACTGTTATTTGTTTGATACTTTCATATTTTGTGATAAATTTCTTTTTGCTCTCTATTAAAAGGAAAATTTATAAGATTTGTTTGCAAGTTCTGTTTAACAATGCCATGCTTTGGATGCTTAATCTTACTGACAATATTATGTAATATTTGTAAATTTAGGGAGAGAAGAAAAAGAGAAACCAGTGGCCACCAGCAGTTCTTCCAGCCTTACAAAAAATTTATCACAGGTGTGTTGCTCTCCCACTGGTAAAAAGATGAAGTTATATAATCTGTTTTATGTGGTTGCTTAAATTTAAAACACTTCAAATATATCTCATGGTATTATGTCTTACATAAAACCTGTTAGCACTATAAGTTGCTAATCATGATAATTTGAAATTGCTTGGTAATCACAGCAAAAATCTTTCTTTGGTGACTTTTCATTCTGAAAATATCTATGTTCTTACAAAGTGCATTCTAATGCCAAAATCGAGGTGGCCCATCTTACCAATTTATTTTGTATAACAGTTTTTAGCATTTAAAATAACCTCTATAGATTATGTATGTAGCAAATGTTTGGAACTCTAAAGGAGGATCAGAATCTTCTGTTACTGATGAATCATGAGCCATAATGAAGGATTTCATAAAGGACTGAGTTTACAGGACAGCCCATAGTTAACAGCTCCATTCTGAGGTTTAACCAGAAGCAGAAGTCTGGGCTGAGAGGAACAAAACCATGAACAACATTCCTTGGTGCACTGCAGGAGCCTACAACTCCATTTTCTATCTCTCACCCATAAGGATATAGTTACTATGACATTTTTGAAATGGTAGAGTGAATTGCAGCTTTATTTACATTGCAATATTTTTTATTCAAATACCATAAATTAATCCAGAAGAAAGCTGGAGGTACAACTTGCAAAGTTGTGAAAACCACTAATAGTTTCATGGAGTGCAAGATCATTCATAGAAGCAATAGATTGTTAAAGTATTAGATGGAGAAATCAGAGGAGGTAAGGCCGTGAGGGGTAGAAGAGTTTGCTACTGTATTTGCTGTGCAGGAGCTTGGGGAAGTTTCTATCTCTAAACCATCTTTCAAAGGGACATCTCACTGGATCTGTTTAAAAATCAAAATTTAATGAACAACAAAATTCAGATAAAAAAAGTTAGCATAACTGGTTGTGGTTTTCTTAAGAATTTCAAGGGAACAGAGGAATGAGGTGAGTAAATCACTAAATGCTTTAGAGTGAAGCCTGTGTGAGAAGACAAAGCTTTCATTACAAGAGACAAGATGAAGGACAGTGACAGGACTGAGTGGGACAAGACCAGAAGAAATTTCAAGCAATTCTGATTTGTGAGTGGCTTAGGGAGTTTGGCATGATGAGGATGACAGAAGGGCTGTTGCCAGGGTAATCTAGAGATGAGGCTGGGAGTCTGGGACCTAGAATTGCACTTAGACAATTGTAGGAAGCAGTAAGTCAAGGTTAAGAGAACTTTAAGAAAGGGTGATGGCAACAAGGAAAAGAAGATGGAATCTGAGGAAAAATAAAAAGATTGGAAGAAAGAAGGTTGCTATGCTTCAGAAAAGGTGTGCTGTACACTGCAGGAGTTGAGTGCCAGGCAGATTCTGCAGAACCAGCTCTTTTATCCCTTACCTTGAATAGAATTGAGTTTGATACATTTTGTTAATTAAAAAATAAACAAGAACTCCCTGTAAAATAATGTGTTCTTTGATGCTGAAATGTAGATTCCTCACCCTAACCTAAAGGCACAAATGCATGCTACATAGAAGAGAGATGTCTTCTGCTCCAATGAAAAATCTGTGAAGTGGGAGTATTTCCATGTTTTCTGCAGTTTTTCAATCCCCACATGAGACCTGTGCTGACTGAGACTGATGTGGATGCTCAGTTGGCCTTCAGAGGCAGAGCCAGGCCTGGCCCCAGCCCCTTCTGTGTTGGCAAGCACGGGCAACCAGGCTGTGGCAGCAGCAAACGTGCATGAAGTTTGTAAATGACATCGCATTATTTGTGTTATAGAAAAGTTAATTAATCGCGTCTAGTTATTGGTGCTGTGACTAAGAATTTATTAAAAAATTACAGAAGTGGTTTTGGGTATCATGCTGTCAAAATGTAGGTAAAGCAAAGAAAAAGTTTTTACATTTCCTGGTCCTTAATTTCCAGTTAAAAGAAGGGATTTCCATGGTCTAAGGAGAAATCAGAGTGATATTGTTGAAGTGACAATTTCACTTGATGCCTCATTTGAATTTTTTCTGTCTTTTAGATGGTGATTGACACTGCAGGGACTAATAAACCACAAATTGCCCATGTTCCAGCAATAGTAAATGTACAAAAACAAATGAAATTCAGGTAACTTTAATAAAATAGCTTTCATTCTCAAGGCTGGGGTTTATGGAAATAATTCACATTTAGACAAACATTCAACTTTGTCTTTTAGACTGTCAGATCTTCCAAAGCAGTTGACTTCCGATCAACAGTTTGAGAGTGAAAATGCAGTAATGGGTAAAGTACTACTGTAATTTTTTTAATAAGGTTAGATCATATAATTATAAACCAGAAAATTCTAGGGAGCAGATTTACATTCTGGAATTAAGAGGGCCACCATTTCCATTTCTTTTCCACCTTGATTGTTTAGCTCAAAATTTAAGTATAGCAGACAGACAAAGTCCTAATTTAAATAGAGACTTAACTGTTCAGTAATGTGCAATTTATTCTGCACTGACCATTGTGAATTAAAGGATCTCTCCAACATCTCTTGTAAATTCACACTCTAATCCCAAATTCCTTAGGTAAAACGAAATCCAGTCTTAACATCTAGCCAGAAGGCATGAGAAAATGCAAAGAAAAGGGATATGATAAACCCAGTAATTCAGGTATCTTGAAGAATCAGATCAAGAGTCTTAAAAATTAAAATTAACTGGAGGAAAACATGCAGAATGCTTACAGAAAAAACCAGGGTAGTTACAAATACATCTGTAGCTTTCGAAATCATAAGGAACTGAGCTTCAGTTTAAATATTTATTTTTCTAATTGTTCTGCTAATTTAGATTCATGTAAAAGATTATAGCCTAGATTTTTTTCACAAAGACAATACTGAAACATAGGACCTTAACCCACAGTGCCTGAGATGTAGCACAGTCTGAAGCTTAAAGCAGAAACTGACAGCAGAAAATCTGATAATATTTCTTTGCGTTTCTCATCCTGACTCTTGCCCAGTTCTTTAAGCTACGCTTCATCATTGTCACATGGATGTGCTTTTTATATTGTTCCCACCTGGTTTCTATTGACTATTAGCACTCTCAGAGGGCAATAGTTGGAGTAGACAAACACAGCACTCTCAGGGAGCAATGGGCAGGTTTGAAGAACACACCAAACCACAAACAGCAGCCTGAGTAATGCTTTGACAACAGCGAGTAAGTGGCAGAACAAGAGGTAATTGTTATGGACAGAGCCACAAAGTGGATTGTTAAGAAAACCAGTCAGAACGCTTCCTTACCAACAGCAGAGCTAGTGAATGCTAGTTCAAGCTAGTGAACTTTTCTGAAGGATTCTTTCCCACAATGCCATTTTTGTGTGTCTGTTTAAAATGCTGTTATAATACAGGCAGTGCTGTCTTTTTTGTGCAGCAAGCCAACAGGCCAAACGTGTCAATGAAGAAGCAGATGAGCACATGGACTGTTCGTATGTACCTCAAGTAAGAAAAGCATTTCTTATGTCAAAAGTAAGAAGTTCATTTAGAATAGTCAAAGTGTTGTGACATATTTGATCCAGTTGGCAAGAGGCAAGCCTCAGAAACTGGTAAAGTATCAATTTGTGCATAACACTTTCATTAATGTGAGCTGGTGAAATGTTTAGAAAAAAATCTGCATTTAAAACTAATTCCTTGCACAGAACTGTAAATAAACTTAGTGCTGGCTCCACTGAGAACATATTTATAGTTAAAAGGACTAATGATATTTTGGGAAATTTGATATGTTATAAACATCATTGTTTATTTCTTTTTAATAGGATGTGCATACAGGTTTTAAGCCAAATGAAGATAATCCCAACATAGCAGAAGGAAGTGCAGAACCTTTCTTAAAAGCACCTAAAACACCTGACTTATCGGGGAAAAACCTACACTTCTCAAAAATACCTCCATTTGACTCGTATGATTTCAACTTTTATTTTGATTCTGAGCAAAAAGTTGTACTCACATTCATTGCACAGGCATTTCTGCTCTTTTTGAAAGATTCTAGAGAAAGAATTTTCTAGAAAGCTCATCTGAAAATACTCGTATTTTTTTCCTGAGTTATGCTTGATATTAAATTTTCTTCTTACAATATCATTTCCAGTTGAAGCTGTTTTGAAAGATCAGTACTTTTCTTAGAAATGTATAAGACACATTGTCTTTTCCTGCAGTAATATTTGTTACTCAGATTTCTATCTTTAAGCAGGCTTTAATGGTTTTTTGGTTTTTTTTTTGTTAAGGGAGCAGGTAGTTGGTAAGAACACCACCTCCCTTTACTTTAAAGAATTGTGTTATCTGTTCTGTGATGCAAAAAGTCATTATTGATGGAAGCTATGGGAATGTAAAAAAAGTGAAAAAAGAGGAAAAGGAAAAAAATAGAAGGAAAAAGGCCATCTACATTACTTAAAAAAACTATTAATGTAGTTTCTACCTTTCTGTATTTACAGCATTCAAAATATAGGTTGTGAAGAAGGAAGATCAAAATCTCCTGCTTTCTTTTCTTTCATGAACATCTCCCAGAAGTCACCGGGCTTTAATTTATTTGATTCTTCTCTGTTTGGAGCACAAAATTCATCTGATGAGGTAAAAATGATTAATTGTGAACATTTAATTTCCACAAAGCAGAATATTTTAACAAAACAGCATTGACAATGGATGAGATTTTTCAGACTGATTATCTTTGTAGCAAACATTTTTTTTTAAAATATCTTGGTTACTTTTAAGTTTGATATTCCTTGAAAATGTTTAATTCCTTTCCTGGCAATCCCCCTATGATGACTTCTAACCAAATATGAATCTCTCTCATACGGATCATGTGCAAATATACAGTGACTCAATTCACCAAAAGGCTTCTGGTTCAGTGTTACAGCACAAAATTCAAGTTCTTTAGCAGATTTCACAACTCACATGCTTCTCCTGTGTGGTTTTGTATTGATGAAGTGAAGAACAGTGAGAGGGGCAGAAAGGACAGTACATAAGGGTTACTGAACAGCAAATATGGATTAGCTATACTCAAATGGAGGAGCTAGGTAGGCAACTAAATGGAGCAGGGAATGGAATCCAGGTCTTCCATTTTCTTTGCAGGTTCCCTAACTCCAGTGCTCTAGAGTAATTTTTCCTCTCCTGGGCTATTAGGTAGATAGCTGGGGATCCAGATATGTGCATCAGAGAGGGCTTAGGTATCACTTGTCAGTGTAGATCCATGTCCCATTATGCAAATAAAGGATTTGAGTCCAGGTAGCTCCTGTTGCAGGGGGTGTGCTCAGTCTTGTGGTTACTGGCTGGGAGCTGAAGCAGGGGTGGGGGAAAGCACCGTTTTATTCTGGGTTTGGCAAGATATGTGTGGTTGGTGTCTCATAGCATGAACTGTGTGTAAGAGAGAACACACTGGTGTGTGGTTTGTGAATTGTTTAGGATTGAGGTGGGTTTTAAATCACCTGCTGTCAGAACACACATTATTTTGTGCCTGCTCAGCAGCAGAAACTAAGAACTCACCAGGCTATAGCAGATCTGGGATTCTTTAAAGTTAGATAGGAGTTTTGAAGGACTTCAGTATCTTTTAGTTATAGTCTTATACTTTTAAATCTAGTCTAAGAACTCATTTTAAGAGTGACAATTAGTTACCCTGCTACTCTTTCTGGCAATATGAGGGCCTCCTCAGTAGAGGAAGTATTTGTGTTGTTGCTTGGAGGTTTTATAAAACATCACAGGTTTGAATAATTTTGAATCTTTTCAGTTTAAAAACCAGCAGTAAGGTCAGTTTTTGGACTGTTATCAGTCTGTTTTTTCCTAGTAGAATGGAGAAAGGGTATTTGCAGCTGCATGCAAATATCATAAAACCCATCTGATCAAGAACTTACCTTGCAACTTTAGGGACTGACAGATACCTTTAAATCCAGATTTTGTAAAGGCTGCTGATATTCACTGATACAGTGTTTTTCTCACTAAAAGCAAATGAACATATTACATATCAGCATTAAAGTTTACTCTTGCCTTTCTCATTTGTTTAATTAAAATTTTGTTTACATTTCAGACAGAGGGAAATTATTCTGTGGGAAAACTGAGCTCTCTGTCCCCACACAAAGATCTCGGTAAGTCTGAAGCTCAGATGTGCTTGTGTTTATCAGCTCTCTTCTGCTGGTTTTCCTGTGACTGACAGGCTCATGATTCAGCTTAACAGAGTTCCTTTGGTTGTCTGAAAGGATGTTCAGTTGTGATAATGTAGCGCTGTGTTTTATTGTGCTCATTTATGTTTTAACTAAATCTTTAGCCTAAATCTTCCCTTGCATGTTGGGACCCAAATGTCTGATATATCATGGAAAAGAAGAGGTATGAGAAAGAAAGAAAGAAATAAGAATAGAGATAGCTGTGTTTGAAACAAAATGAGAGGACTTGTAAGGGAGAAGAAAAAGTCCAAGTATTTCTATGACTGATCAAATTTTTCTCTAAATAAACACATTTGCAGTTTCTGCTTACAAATACCTCTGTTGCAGAAATGTTTTGCTGTTTTAAACCATTAAAGTGCTTCACACTTCCTTCTATGTCAATTCTAATAACAAGCCCCTGGAAAAACCATCTCTGGTGCAGCAATAAACACACAACTGTAGGGTGATGCTCAGTGGGATATTTGGCACAATATATTAATAAAGAAGCATATGCTGAATGCAGTATTATCTCAGATTGAATCTAGTTACAAATATTATATGTATTCCATATAGGAAGCTTCTTTGGGAAACCAGAAAATGAAGATGCATTTACCTTTCCCTTCCACTCAGAATCAACTTCTCATGCATTTGGAGATGGAAAGGATGACGTTGGTTTTTCATTTGCATTTGGACAGGATCAGAGATCACCCCAGTTTCCTTCTATGGGAGGTTTTCATTCTTCCATACAAAATACAAAGCCATTTACACTCTTTTGAATACCTTTTAAATTACTTTCCTACTTAGCCTTGACAAATGTTTCCAGTTTCTTGAGTTAAAGTACAAAGCATTTCTTCTCCTTCTGTTTCTTTTAAGAACACATTATTGCAATTGCTGCAATGTGTGTTCATCAATACCACCTTCTGTGATTTTCTTATTTATCTTTGAAATGTGTTTGTTCATAAAATATTACTGTATGCTCTTGCTAAATTGGCACTCACAAACAGAAATATAATTTTAGGATAGAGTGTTAATTCAATGTCTCTGAGAATGTTTAAACATATAGATAAGAACTTTCAGCTTCTGATATAAATTAAATTACTTGTGTTAATGACTGTTGTAGCAGTTAAAGCTGAATTTGAATTAAAGACAGTGTTCGTAAGTATTCTGTGTATAACAGCTGATTTATAAAATATTTGAAATAAACATTTTTGTTAATTTTATGTAGTTTTGTAGGTATTTCTTAATATCTGAAGTGGAACAACGTTGCAATTGTAATATTTAACTTCCTTTCTTCCTTTCTTCTTCCTTTCCTTCTTTTCTTTTCTTTCTTTCTTTTCTTGCTTCTCCACTATCTAATGTCTTTCAAAAAAGACAGAGACAGTTCCCAAAGTCCAGCTGTGGTCAGTACAACTATGTCCCTCAGTTCTCCACAAAGGAGAAAGAATGGAAATTCATTCTTATGGAAAGAATGGCTGTTAGAACAATATCAGGGTTACTCAGCAAGGAATGCTGACTGTTCTGAGCCACCAGAGCACTGTGCCCTGGGAATCCCTTAGAACCATATTCTCTAGAGCCACAACTTTCATATTTATGGCCTTTGAAGGCAATACCAGATCACTTTGAAGATATTTTTTCTGTTACGGATGAAACATAGGTTACTAATTTTTGAAACTCCTCACAAATCTATAAGGGAATTTGGTTTCCCAGTCACTTGCTATGAGAAAACTCCCTTCCTGACAGCAGGCAAGCAAAATAAAGAGAGGTTGGTCCACATCATTCAGCAGACTTCAGAGAAGAGATTGCAAATGCACAAATGAGTCAGAGGGGCACACAGACTGAGAGGAGCAAGTGGCCAAAAAGCATCCTACCTGTAGAGTGTGCACAGTCTGCCAAATAAATGACAACAAAGTCCCAAGGGGAGGAGAGTCCTTTCCCCTCTGCTGCCCTGCAAAACCCTTAATGGGCAAAAGCTTGATTATCTATGCCACTGTTTCTTTTCTGCCAAACTCCTAGATGCATCAGGACTATTTTCATGTCCAGAGAATTGTGAAAATTGGATTTTTTTTTAAACTGGAAGTGAATCAGGAAATTTTAGTGAAATCATGCTGAGGTCCAACTACTAAGAAGTGAGACACAGATTTTCTAATCTACTGCATACCTGTTAATCTGAAAATCCCAATGGAAAGGCAAGTTTGAGTCCCTACCTTTTATTTGGGGCAATGTTTATGATACACTGCTGACAGATATTCTGAGATCATTTAGAAAACCAAAAGTTTAATTTTGTTTGCTCAGTTATTCCATAACTGAAGATCTTTCCTGATGAATTCTGTTAACTAACATCTAACTAAGATGTTCCAATGTAGAAGTCAAGGCTGCTGGTTGAAGTGGGAGAAACCACAGTCCTAGGTCTTGCTGGAAGTTTCCTGACACAAATTGGATAGGCTGATTAATAACAGAGAAGAGAAAGCTGCTTCAGAAGAGGCGACCTCTCAGCATTTGGGGTAATTTTCTGAGTTCTGAGACCATGAACTGCATATAAACACACACGGGGATTTTTTCATTGGCACCTGTAAAATTCCATGTAGAAATGGTCACTGGTTATGTGTATAAAATCAATAGCAGTCATGTTGATGGATTGCTGACACTGGTGCATCTCTCACTGCCCAGTGTCAGTTTGTTCTGCCCTTGACACACTCACATGCTGCACCCATTTCTAGCCTGAAAGATGAGACAGATTCTCTTGTCAGCATAGCAAGGGCTGCTAGAGAGCAAAACCAGGTACTGCAGGTATCCCACGTGTGACTGCGCTGGAGCCCAGGAACCTCCAGAAACAACAGCAGCTGGGAGCTGCAATCCCTTCAAAGCTATGCAGCTGTCAGCAAAGTGGCAATATGGTGACACTGTGTACTTGTGCTCTGAGTCCTTGGAGGTGCAGGTGCCTTTCTGTTCTCTCCTTGGATTGTGCTGAGTAAAACAGAGTTCAGGCTCACAGCCAAGCCCAAAGGTACTAACAGCAAAACCCCCTCTTAAATAAGCAGGGCTGGGATTTGACTTTAAATCTTGTAAGAGTATCCTAACCAGAAGGTAAATGTCTATTTTTAGAGCCCTGTTATCTTTACTGTTCCACTTAGGTTTTTAATGAAGTTTTTGACAGAAAGCCACTTCACTTGAAATATTGCTTGTAAAAGCTAATGTGCCACACTCCATTAGGTTAAATAAATAATAATAATAAATATTTTGTGTCACCAACCTTGTAGGAAATGTAGTGATACCTGAATAAATAAATAAATTTTTGAATATTTTGAGTAAAAAACTTTGAAGAAGTTTACTAATGAAATTTACACTCTTATCTGCTGCTGTGGTGAGGAAGACAGCAATGCCTTGGTTTTCTTTCTCCCACAGAAATAACAGGTATGTGGAAATGCCATTTTTCTGATCAGAAATAACATAGAGAGGATTTCTGCACATCTGCCTTGTTCTGCAATGTGGTCTTCCAGTAAAAAAAAAAAAAAGTTTTAATTTCTGAAGTAACATAACATCATGACTGGAGCACCATCTACTTTTTTAACTGTTAATTTTACTGATACATAAGTGTAAATCATGTTTATAAACACTTGGGGATATCTGGCTGACAAATAAGCAACTGTTGTATAAGTTTGACACTAAAAAATTTAATTTAGAAACTATGAGGTAAAGACTAATGTTCCAGGGGTTGTGGAATATAAGATTTATTTTCATGTACTGCTGTTTTATGCCTTCAGGCACCACTTTTAATAGGAAATAAGACATTCAGCAAACTGTTCCCACTCAAAAATTGAGTTTCATGTTCAGAGCAATTTATGAATTTTCTGTAACTTCAGTCCAAGAATATCAATCTAAAGTACATATGCCCAGCTTAACAGTCTGCAGGACAAAATTTGTTGTGCTGTTATGTATAATACTTAAGGTGATAAATCTACAAGAGTTATTTATATTTTATATCAGAAAAACTGTATGAATAAGGCAACTGAGAGTGTTAAAATTGTCTCTTTACCACAGTGAATTGTCAATGGCAACGTGTGAATACTTTGAGGAAAACAAAAGGTTTATGTCATTACATTGCAGGCTCTTCTGATTGCTCACTGATTTTATCTGTAATATAAAAAGAGCAACCAGAATTCTGAGTTGGGAAAACTGCAGTGCTACGAGTGATAAACCTGGAGTTACAACCCACAGAACAGATCAGAGAACATTGTATGTAAGTAGTGGATTTATTTCTAGCTATCTATTGAATTACAGCACTGAACCCCACAGAAATTCTGTACATAATTTCATCCCCAGTCTGGGCTTTACACAAATTTTTAAAAAAATAGATTTAGTTTTTCATTTCAAGGCCATGAACACAGTTAAAACTTCGTGTTGGGAGTAACAGGCCATCTCTGCATGTATGTGGGTAAATGCAGGCTTTGGGGGCAGGGGCAGGTGAATCACTGCATCCTAAGGAAACAATCTTACACTACAGCATTAATACGTTTAAGTATTTCAAGGAAATAAGCTTTAGGTGCTACATATTGTAACAGATTGGAATGTGTAGATTTACAGTATTAGATGGTCATAATCCCCCCAGTGCAAGGCTGATTGCAGGGGTAGCAAGAGTTGGCTAATCCTTTTGGGCCAATGGCATAAAATAAGGATTAGTTTTTCATTTACTGCAACTGAGTGGGTCATTAGGATCCAAAGACACTAATGAGCCTGAACAGGCAATTGGATTCTGGTTTCAGAGTTATGGGCTAGTTTGAAAGGAGATTGATTGTGTCTTTTAATGATTTAAAACATGATGTCTTGGTGACCTTTTGCCTGAGAAAAATGAATGAAGGATATATCTGTGGAACACAAACCTGGAATGCTGACTTTTTTCCTCCTGAAACTTGAGTTGTTGCCAGATTCGTTGCCTTAAAGTCTGAATGGCTCATTTAGAAATATCTCTGTTGCCTTGCTTTTATGTTCTGCTCTTGATGTCTCCAGAGTTGACACAAGTCACATGCAATCAAGTCTGTATTCCTGGTGGACAGGCACTGTCCTAATATTCTCTGACTCACACCCAGGTTGTTTGCAGCTCAGCAGTTCTGCTTCCAGACACATCACTTTGTGTTCTGATGCTAACATCTTGCTGAGAAATTGCCTCTTGGCACGTTGTTTCTTGGATCCTGTACCTTGCTTGATTTGGTGTGAAGATGATGCTCTTTTTAGCACATGCAACACGTTACTTTTGGAACGGTAAATCTTTCCCCCCACCTTGCTACATCCCAGACTTTTTTGTTTTCATGGATCACTTGAATTCAGCAATAATAGATAGCTTCTCTTTGGTTTCATTCAATTTAAGCAAGGGTATGAAAGAATATCAAAGGTGGACATTACCATGCTAATAGAATATTTAGACATAAACACACACAAAAAAATACTTTGACCATTATGACTCTATAGGAGAAATAGTGTCAAAAGTTTTAATAACATGAACTTAATTTTGTCCACAGTCCACAAAGCATACACAAAATTATTTCATACAGTGCAGGACTTGATCCACAATCCTTTGAGGCTTGGCTTGGGGAAAGGAAAGAAGTAGAGGATCAAGTTACAAAAAGTTCTTGCTAGTGGGGAACCAGCTGTTCTGACTGGTGGGCATCTTGGAAGCTGACAGTCCATGCTGAAACTCAGTTTTGAGCTTGCAGTTCTTATCTGCTCCCTTCTGCCAGAGCAGGACTGCCTTGAGCTAAGTGTGGTCTCTTGCTGCTCTTTT